CCGATACATTTATACAACAATCTTTACATCATAACAGCGACTAATTGTTAAATTACGTCACTCACACATTTGTTATATGGACGATACACGCAGTTAGAGAGATCAATGTACAAAAGTTTTACGTAAATGAGTTTTCAATCGCATCCTAAATACTTTATTAATGAAAATCGTCAGATCGACGATTAAATTATAAGTTTCAATTACAAAGAAGGAATTATTCGCTACAAGAAGATGGATCGAAACCTCTAAAATGAATCAAACTAACACTAGTATGAATCATTTTATGTGAGAAGTATGAAATTCTTTGTTTCCACGAATTCAAATTTCATAAATATAATCTACGTTGAATTTTCTATGGAAAGACACTGTTTTTCAAATTAGTTGATATTAATAATAAAACACAATGATACACGCAGTTCCATAATTCACCGATGTCCAAAATTACAATTCATTCTTGACTCCTTTATCTTCGTAGTTAGAATCATTATTTTTTGCTTTTACAAAATTACGTAAAAATACTCGAAAAATAAAACCACGAAAAGAAGCTTTGCAATATTCGCAGAAACAATGGATTATTAGTATTCTTGAAAAGGTTACCGTTTGTAGAATAGACAGAAATATAAATTCAGTTACAAAAAACCATTTATTTATAAACTATTTGCAAATAAAATAATTCTTGTTATTCTTATAATAATCTCGCAATAAATTGTCATTCTCATGCTGCTTGCTTCTATACTCTTGGTTGAACATTGCTTGTTATTTTAATATACAGTAGAACTTGGATTATATACACACATATACATATACAAACATTATCGGAACGTTTTGTCACCTGAACGTTGTATAATTCTGCGAGCACTGTATTAACTGATTTTAAGAAATATTTTTCGAACTATTCATTGTCTTCCTTATGGCCATGAGGTATTGGCATCAATGTTTCCAGTAACTCTTTTCGATACATTCGCCTAATACATGCGATTATTCCACGATCCATTGATAGGATGAGCGGTGCAACATAAAATGAAAAGTCAACTTTTCATTTGACGCTGCGCCGCTCATACAACCAATGGATCGTGGAATAATCGCATGTTTCAAGCGAATGTACCGAAAAGATTTGCTGGAAACATTAATGCCATTACCTAACTGCAATACGGAGAAAGAACTGATAGATAATCATTACGAATTAAACATGAGCGATTGTTGTCGCATGGTATATGATGCTTAATCAAGAGTCAATAATGCAATACTGAAAAATGAGTGGGACATGCCTTTGAAGCATGAAAGCGAACAAAGTTCGGAAGACTTCGAAATAATAAAAAAGGATATAGATGAAGAACTTGCAACACTGAATAGATTACCAAATAATAAATGCACAATGTTATTTATTTTATATTAGTTTATTGAATTATGCACGAACACAATAATAGAAATATGACAGAATGGATAATATCTAATTCAATAAAATAATATAAAACAGAAATTGTTGTTCATCTATTGTCACTTTATGAAACGAAAAAAACTTTTCGGACAACCTAATACCTTTAATTTGTTCTTTGTATAATCAGTATGTAAAATTGTTACATAAAATCATTACCGAAAATTATAATTGACCACTTAAATAATTTTTAGACTTCTTTGTTTTTTAAGTAGTGAACATTAGTCCTTGATACTACGCGCGCGCAGTTGACGAAGTGTCAACGTCTCTACAACACTTCGTCTGTAATAATTGCGACACACTACACGCCTCCTCAGAGGACACACTTAAATTGTTAAACTGCAATGCGATGTGCCCGTACTCTTGACATTTGAAACATCTAGCAGCTTTGCTTTTTGTTGAACATTTCGCACTTAGATGATCTTTGTTTTCGCACAGAAAACACCGTCGCACCGGTTTCTGTGCAACTCTGTCTTCTCGGATTTTTCTTCTTTCCGTCTTCGCGTTTTATTTCATGGCCTCGCACGGGGCGAACTTCTCTTTTAATTCGCGAATATCCTTGGCGCCATACAGTATTATTTTGTCTATCTTCCTCGTCACAAATTCCGTCGATGATATATTTTATCACAACTGAACTCTCCACATTCACTTGCTTAGGTATGTCGAACTATTGGTATGTCTCTGCGTCCTTGGTTCGATGCGACAATCCCTTATGCACCTTGTGCGCGTCTACCTTTTGCGCAAATTCGGTACTCAACATTTCCTTCGTTATTTTGCAACTTTTAAAGCACATTTCATGGTTAACGAACAATTTTGCCGATCGCGTAAAAGTCGCGTATATTACTCGCTGCACGTCAATCCAATCACAAAGGTGGCACATTTCCTCAAATTCCAGCGACCAGCTTTGCACATTGACGTTGTTACCAGCTTTGAATATTAAGACGAGTGCGTTTCTGTTGTCGACTCTTACGTGTGTTTCAAACACTTTGCGCTCTTCGTCCTTCATCTTCTTCGTCTTCTTCGTCCATGCTCAATTTTCAAAGCAATGGAAGCTCTTATACGCTGTTGCAGTTCTTTCTTCTTACGAACTGCTTTTTATCTTCGTTTCTGGAGTTCATCTTTGAACTCCGCAACTTTCACTGTTTCGATACGTTCAGGCTTATCGTTAACAATGCACTTTTCTTCGATATCCACCATGGTATTGTCCGCATTTGATCCTTCGCTCATCGTGATATCGACTTGATATCAACTCAGTTGCACAATTACTACGCCAATAGTTAAATTAGATAACACGATCAGTTAAATAGTTCGTTTTCTGTTTTGTTCAATCCCGGCACGGGGTCCCAGAATTATATGAGATTTTATTTATTATATAGATTTATTTATAATAATTGAAGCTCATGACCAACAACTCACAACTCGACAACTACCGAGGAAAGACTAACTCGCAACTGCAACTGCTCGCAACTGCAACTGCAACTGCTCGCAACTTACTCGTAACTGGCTATTCTCTCTACCGAAACGTCCTTTTATACCAAAGTTTCCGATATTCCCACCATTCACATGCATTTTACAACTATTAAGGACCCAAGACAGTTAAGTATACCTTTATAATTAGTCGCTGCTCCAAAGGCCATATAACTCACCGGGATAATATGTCTTTTCCGGCCTGTCAACACTTTCAATTGTACCTATAGCCCATTAAAATTTCCCAGTAGTTTTCTACAATGTTGCATGTTATTTCCTGCGACCCAAATCTTCGATTTCGGAATAAATAGTAACGAAATGTGCAAACATGCTTACTCAGGCTCACAATAACCCCAATAAACCGTTATTAGGCGCCCGTAAAATCCTCTTTATTACGACCAAATTTACTGCCGTCCTCAGCTTTGGATTCTTTCTTACAGTAGATGAATTTAATTTATACAATTTATGCATGCTCCAAGTCGAGACAGTAAAAAATTTTCCGGAAAAAAAAATTCCTCCGTCAATGTCAATTTCTTGCATGGAATAGAAACTAATTTTTACTGCTTTAGACAAATCTGGTCTCACAACGGGAAATCATCAAAATTGTTCGTAGAGTGAGTATATACTACCGTGCGTAAGCATTAAGACACTTCCAAATTATTGCAAGTACATAAAATATATTTGAAATAAGGCTCTATAATGTACATTCGCATCTGATCTTATCTCTGTTAATCTTGTGCGATTAGTCGATATTGTCCAATACAATAGTTGATATTCATTAGTGTAATTAAAAAGCAAAACACAATTGAAGATGAATGAACATTACTTCCATGAAAACAGCTAAGGTCAGTGACTGTAAGCATACATATCTGTACAATGTTGAGAGTTTAGAATGATTGCAATATGCGTTTATTCAATTACATTCTATAAGTTTATATAGATTTTATCAAGTGTTAGCTACTTACTAGTAATGAATATGGGACTTGTTTGGCAAAAGTATATTTTCCTCGTTCCAGTTTCGATTTGGCAGTACATTTAATACCATTTACGACGAGAATTAAAGAGTTAACACTAGAGAAACATATTTCTATTATAATCTTTAAAATATAATAATTATATAAACGTTTTGTTTGAGTTGCAGCGAGTGTTCGCATACTTGTGCATATAGCAGTGTATATAATTTGCTTAACGCACCGGATTTGAGTAGCGATCGGGCAATCGCTTATGCGTCATTCATGTTTTCGTAGTCAGCTGCGCATGGGTTCCTATTGTCCTAAATCTAGTGATTTATGACAAATGGTCGATAGTACAGAACGGTACTAAATTGAGTTTTTGAAACAGGATTCTCCTAAGTAACGCCCAAATAAAATACAGAATAACATCGGGATTAACATAAATCTTTATTTTCAAGATATCTATATTTAATGATCGCAATTTCAGCATTGCTTACTTGCAATCGAAAAAGGCAAGTTGCCAGTACGTATTAAAAATTCAAATTTCATAGGTATAATCTACGTTAAATTTTTTACGGAAGAAGACACTGTTTTCAAATTACTCGATATTAACAATAAAGCACAATGATACGTGTAGTTCCATAATTCACTGATGTCTAAAATTAGAATTATTTTTGATTCGCCTGTCTCCGTAGTTAGAATCATTATTTTTGCTTTTACAAAATTGCATAAAAATACTCGAAAAATAAAATCATGAAAAGAGGCTTTGCAATATTCGCAGAAACAATGAATTATTAGTCTTCTTGAAAAGGTTACCGCTCATAATAATCTCATAATAAATTCTTACTTTCATGCTGCTTCCTTCCAACAACTCTCGGTGAAATATTATTCGTTATTTTGATATAGAATATAACCTCGATTATACATCACATACATACATTATCACAACGTTCAATCATCAGAATGTTGTATAATTCTCCATAATGCATGTCATATACATTTATACGTATATAGCTATTTAGGTATATAATCTATATAGTACTTGTTTCCCCCATATTAAGATTGTCAACGACTGTAACTGTCGAAATAAAATCTCGTCACAACATTTCAGTGCGGTATTTACATTCGAAACGTTACAAACAATAATGGATGGAAAACGGACCTTGGGAATGTTGTCAATTGCCGAGAAATACGATATCACTCAAATGATTAAAAGAGGTGAGACTCGTAAAAACATAAAAGAACAGTACAATATTTCATCTAGAACTCTGGACGTAATAAGGGACAACCGTGCACAGATAATAGAAGAATTCCGGAACAACTTAGCGCGTCCTAGCACTTCCAAAATAGCTTTTACAAAAGATGAAGCTAATGAAAATTTCGAAACAACTCTTCGCCAGTGGTACGTACGATATAGAAATAAAAACATAACAATAACGAATGAGATATTAGGGAGTAAAGCTCGGGAATTGAGTACAAAATTTCGCGGTACTGCTAATTTTCAAGGCGGTTCGACTTGGCTGACAAATTTTAAAAAACGTTACGGTTTACGTGAAGGGGATAAGGCTGAAGATTTAGAAATAGGAAATGAAGATGAAGCGAATAAGTGCAAAGCTCAAATTAAAAATCTTCTGCAAAGCGGAGAATACACATTGGATAACATCTACAATGCCGATTGCTTAGGAATACTGTGGACAGCAGTACCACAACAAACTGTAATGTATAAGCCATCACTAAAGATGAGTAGCCCGCACGGAGAAAAAGTTACGATACTTCTTGGTGCAAATGCTACCGGAAGTCATCAGTTGCCAGTACTAGTAGTCGGAACAAAAGTGAATCCTCCATGTTTAAAATCCTTCTATACATTTATACGTATATAGCTATTTAGGTATATAATCTATATAGTACTTGTTTCCCCCATATTAAGATTGTCAACGACTGTAACTGTCGAAATAAAATCTCGTCACAACATTTCAGTGCGGTATTTACATTCGAAACGTTACAAACAATAATGGATGGAAAACGGACCTTGGGAATGTTGTCAATTGCCGAGAAATACGATATCACTCAAATGATTGAAAGAGGTGAGACTCGTGAAACCATAGCAGAACAGTACAATATTTCATATAGAACTCTGAACGCAATAAAAAATAGCCGTGCAAAGATACAAAAAGAATTCCAGGACAGATTAGCGCATCCTGGCACTTCCAAATTACCTTCTGCAAAAACTAAAGCTACACAGAAATTCGAAACAGTTCTTTACCAGTGGTACTTACGATATAGAGATAAAAACATAACAGTAACGAATGAGATATTAGGGAGTAAAGCTCGGGAATTGAGTACAAAATTTCGCGGTACTGCTAATTTTCAAGGCGGTCCGTCTTGGGTGACAAATTTTAAAAAACGTTACCGTTTACGTGCAGAGGATATGCCTGAAGATTTAGAAATAGGAAATGAAGATGAAGCGAATAAGTGCAAACCACAAATTAAAAATCTTCTGCAAAGCGGAGAATACACATTGGATAACGTTTACAATGTCGATTGCTTAGGAATACTGTGGACAGAACTACCACAAAACACTGCACTGTATAACGCATCACAAAAGATGCCTAACCCGCACGGAGAAAAAGTTACGATACTTCTTGGTGCAAATGCTACCGGAAGTCATCAGTTGCCAGTACTAGTAGTCGGAACAAAAAAGTATCCTCCATGTTTAAAATCCTTCAGAATTCTGACAAGTATCTACAGAGCTAGTGCCCTGCCTATCATAGACAGTAACCTTTTCGATGAATGGTTCGATATATGTTTCTTAAAATCAGTTAGAGAAAGACAACAGGAAAAAGGGCGCAGAATGAAAACGCTGCTGTTGCTAGATAACGTTTTCCCTCATCACGAAACCGGAATAGTAAGTACAAAAGATGAATTAGTTAAAATCATGTATCTTTCATGTGACGCTGCATCGCTCATACAACCAATGGATCATGGAATAATCGAATGTTTCAAGCGAAAGTGCCAAATCCAATTGCTGAAAACATTAGTTCCATGTACTGAACCCTCTACAAACCGTCTTGGGTGACAAATTTTAAAAAACGTTACCGTTTACGTGCAGAGGATATGCCTGAAGATTTAGAAATAGGAAATGAAGATGAAGCGAATAAGTGCAAACCACAAATTAAAAATCTTCTGCAAAGCGGAGAATACACATTGGATAACGTTTACAATGTCGATTGCTTAGGAATACTGTGGACAGAACTACCACAAAACACTGCACTGTATAACGCATCACAAAAGATGCCTAACCCGCACGGAGAAAAAGTTACGATACTTCTTGGTGCAAATGCTACCGGAAGTCATCAGTTGCCAGTACTAGTAGTCGGAACAAAAAAGTATCCTCCATGTTTAAAATCCTTCAGAATTCTGACAAGTATCTACAGAGGTAGCGACCTGGCTATCATAGACAGTAACCTTTTCGATGAATGGTTCGATATATGTTTCTTAAAATCAGTTAGAGAAAGACAACAGGAAAAAGGGCGCAGAATGAAAACGCTGCTGTTGCTAGATAACGTTTTCCCTCATCACGAAACCGGAATAGTAAGTACAAAAGATGAATTAGTTAAAATCATGTATCTTTCATGTGACGCTGCACCGCTCATACAACCAATGGATCATGGAATAATCGAATGTTTCAAGCGAAAGTGCCAAATCCAATTGCTGAAAACATTAGTTCCATGTACTGAACCCTCTACAAAGGAAGCAGTGGTAAATGACCACTATGACTTAAATATGTGGGATTGTTGCCGCATGGCAAGTCATGCTTGGACAAATGTCAGCACGTCAATACTGAAAAACGCGTGGGACAACCTTCTGAAGGATGAAGGCGGGCAGAGTTTGGAAGAGCTCGAAATAAGACAGGACATAGATAAAGCACTTGAAGAACTGAGTAAAATACCAGGATGCGAAAGGTGTGACAGTATCGCTGTGATGAACTGGTTTGATACTAATAAGAAATATGCCGCCCCACTAGTCGATGTCAACAGTGCTCTTATGCAGTTTATAAATGCAACTATGGATACAGAAGCGAACAAACCTACTGACGAGAAATTTGAA